CTGTAATCAATGCATACCTGAACACAACATTTTAGAAGAGGAATATTTTTTTTGAAGCTATGCGGAAACTTTGTTTTAGAGTATGACAGCTTGAATGCAAATAAGAGTAAGAGTTTGATGATCGAGTTTGGATTAGTGCTGTAGGTCATCTCATTTTGCCTGTATAAACACATAAAGTTAATGATCCTACCGCCCATATGTTTGTATGGTGGAGGCCTTTTGATTTGGACACTAAAAGTTGAAGATTTTCAATTTCAGCAGAGGGAGTGTGTGAAAGCAAAACTTCAGTTGGTTGCATCTGTACAGGCTTGAGCTTTTATACTGGCCATTATCGGCACACTGGGACGAGGTGTGTGAGAGTTTAAATCAACACTGATGTGTGGTCCCATTACAGCAGGCAATCACACAATAATTACGCACTGATTATCCGCAGGGAGTTTAGATCCAGCCGAACTTTGTGGAAAAGCGTGTACCCTGCTGCTGAGTAGTCATTCTTACAGGCACAGTCCTGCCTCCGGCTGCCATTGTATGGACATTCAAATGGGTTAATCAACCTGATTGGGAAGGAGAAAAAGTGTCAAGAAAAATTAAATACAAAACATAAATCTAAACTCAAAACGTAATCACAAACCTTTGCCCATACACCTCTGAGTAGTTGTCTGTCTGCCCGCTGCGAAGGGTCACATACTCCTTTGGAAAATCCGTCTGCATTTCAGCACAGTAAATCTAACAACAAAAAGAAAATGAGACGGAGGCCATGATGTGCACAGGAGGATATCTGTCAACAAAAACGCACTTGCAGGGTCCGAAACTTGATTTTGAGATAGTATTCTCCATCTATTCTCACACCCTGGCGCAGCTGCACTTCTCGGCAAGAAGTAAACACATGGCCTGAAAGAGGAATTATGACAAAGAAGACTTTAGTGCAATCTTACAAAAATTGACAAAAATATCAGAAAACATTAAAGAAAAGCCAAATATCAAGATTTTCTCTCTACTAACTGAATTCAAAGACTCTCATAGTGCCTGCAGCTGGTTAAAAATGCAAAAATAATAACACCATCTTAATTCTGCCAATGCTAGACTTGGCATAAAGCTAGTTGAAAATGTCCCTTTGTACCATAAGTGAGACATGTGAAAAGTGGTTAAGCAAACTTGGAAACTTTGTCCCTATACCATTAAAGCTGCCTTGTTCTGTACTCAGAGTCCATGCAAGATGCTTTGGTAGAAAATTGCTGACTTGCTGTTCCTTTAAATTATCACTTTAAGGGGCATTACGTGGTGCTAGCTGTTCTGCCTAATGTGCTGCAGGAAAGCAGTTATATTACTGTAAACACAATCAGACACAGTTTTAGTTGGTGCACACAGAACACTCAATTTATTCGCATTATACTAAAAATCCCACATTCCCAGTGTGTGAATGCTTTAGAAAAAATAATCAAGATGGCTCAGTCTCTAAGGTACATAATTAGCAGGAAAATCCTAACCACACGAAACAATAGAAGAACATGACTGACTTTTAGCAGATCTGAGAGTGAAATTTAGCTTACTAAGAATATACATCATAGAAGCAGATGCAAAAGTCCTAATTCTTTTCAAATTATCTGACCTTTTTGTGAGGCTTAATGTACTTAAATGGTACTTGGTTTCACAAGAACCTTAGTCAACATATTAAAGGGTACTGGCCACTACAGAATGATAAAAACATGTAAAACATTTCCTTGTACGGTTTGAAATATCTCTTTTCCCGGACAAAAAGAGGTTGATTGGCCCTTTCCAATAGAGGGCACTGTTCTGGGAACAGTCAAATAGTCTGTCCATCATGACTCAGGTTAACCTCCTTTACTTTGATATTTTTGAATAAAATCCCAAATGATTATTAGATCGTATTCAGTGGCTACGACCTCTGAAGTTCGTAGCCACTGAAGGAAGGAAGGAATTTTTTTTTATGATTATAAATAAATGTAAGCAATAAGGGAAAAGACCCAAAACAGTAAAAGTTAGAGCCTCACACTGTCTCTCTTGACATGTAGCTTGAGATGCAGGTCTTTCTGATGGACGGCAGTGTTTAGACAGTTGGCCTTTGGAGGTCACACACTCTATCCTTCGTTCCATTACTCCGGACCCACAGGTCTGCGAGCACTGGGACACAAACATTATAATTCCCCAAAAACAAAAAAAATCAAAAACAAAACAAACAAACAAGACAAAAACAACCTAATATTTTGCACAAAATTCAGACATACAGTAAGTTTTTTCTTAATAAATCAGTTCTGTGCTTCACCTTGGACCAAGGGCCAACTTTCCAGTAGGAGGTGAGAGGACACTCACTGAGGAGGCATGACTGGGTGGTAGGAGGTTCAGGCTCAGGGCAGTTGGTTGAAGGCTGAGTATAGAAATGCTGTGAGTGGAAGGACGACGGCACCAAAGAGCAGGAGACAATACGTTGCTGATAACCAACACCACAGCTGGCGGAGCACTGAGAGACAAATAAATACATACCAACACAGCAAAAGGGATGAGAAAAGGGCTGCTTTTGTTTACCGTTTCTAAATCTGATGTTTGAGATCAAATTTCTATTCTTATATTCTTTATAAGAGCTATATTATTGTTTTCAGTGGACTTTATTATGTTCTTTTATTTAAGAGACTGTACAAATCTAAACCCAACACTAAATGTTTTTAACTGATGGAACACATCTAGGAACAAAATAAATTCTTGTCAGTTAAACTTTGACACTAAAACAAAGGTAGACTTTCAGAGACCATCTCCAGTTTTAATTCTTACCTGTGACCATTCCCCTGTGATCCACATGTACTGACAGGGCTCTTCTCTACAGTGCTGGACGGAGGTAGGCCTAGCTGATGGTTCACAGTAGTCATCCTGGGCAGGTGAAGAACTTGGTCCTTCACATCTCACCTTTCTGCTTTTCATCCCTTCACCACATGTTGCATTGCACTACAAGTCAAGAGGAACATCACGTTATTTGACTTAAATTTGAATCATCTATTTTCTTCAGATGTCAAGGCTGAACTTGAATAGGGGACACCCCTATATTAACACTTGAAAATGTTAAAACTGGTTTTCAAAAGACATTTGCCAACAAATATGACTGATTTAACGTTTTTAGATCCGCATACCTAGATGACATACCCAAACAAAAAAAAAAAATACAAAAATCCAATAATGATCAGACTTTTATTTGACAAAACAAAAAAAAAAAATGTAAAAAAAAAAAAAAAAAAAAAAGCCCTTTATTTTCCACTTCACAGTTACTGTATGTGTAAATTGGTGTTGGTCTATTACATTAAATGCTAATACAATACATTAGGATTGCATCAGGTGTATGAATAGAGTTGGATGTACTCATGTGGTTCAGAATCGAAAGACCACTTCAAAAACAGCCTGTTGCTTGCTGGATTAAAAGCAGAACTTCAAAAACTTTTAACCTTCAGGTTTCACATCAAAATAAACATAAATTGATCAGAGAGGACAGAATCATCTGTCTCTGCAGGAAACTTTTAATCTGCCTGCCCCTAAAGAGCAAAGGGCTTTTGGTTGAGCCTTGAATATATAAACATCTTACACGCATAGGAAGCAAAAACAGTCAGCAGGAGAAAAGGAACAGTGTTCACAAGTGGTTTTGAGGTTGGATAATGTATAAACTGCAACCACGTTTGGGTTGCCAACTTCTTTATTTAAGAAAATAGAGCAAATCTGTCTGAATATTCTTTAAGCAATGAGAGACTATTAAAGATAAACAGATACATGAGGTAAAAAACAAAAAAACAACTACTCACTTGCTCCCATTCACCCACTGTCCAGATGTAATGTGTACATTGTGGTGTGTGGCACACTTGCACTGTTGAAGGACGTAAATGAGGATTACATAGCTCTTCGCTGACTCTTCCTGAACCTTTGAGCCTGCAGTAAACATCTCGTTGCTGAACTCCAGACCCACAGGTGGCAGAGCACTGATGAAACATAAAAAAATTAAACAAAACAGAATTAAGTTAGAGAAAAAAAATCTGTACATTTTGCTAGGACTGGGCAAAATGAAGAATAATTGTATGCATCATGTTTTGTTCCACGTCCAGTTTCTGAAATGATAATAACATGACTGTGAAGTAAAAATATCAATACCAAACATGGTCCCTGTGATTCTAATTCAGCGGAAGTTCCCTTTCTCTTGGCGTTTCTTTGTTTCTATATTTTACGCAGCACTTTCCCCCTTTCTGATCCAATATTGTAAACTCTAGACCAAAAAGTTTACCAGACCAGATGAGGGAACACGGTAAAATATAAACAGCCCAGCAAGAGTAATAAAGTTATCAAGTGTTACATATGTTTAATCAAAAGAAGTTTGTAAAAGAAAATGTGAGTGATGTAGTATTAGTAATTCCCTGCTTTTTTGAACTTCTTAAAAGATCTTGAAGGATATGGAACAATAAAGCCTAGTGTCATATTGTAGAGCGGGGCTCTCCAACCCTAGTCCTCAAGATCTACTGTCTTGCAGGTTTTAGAAGTATTCCTGTTCCTACACACCTGAATTAAATGAATGGCTTGTTACCAGGCCTATGCCAAACTTGATGGCATACTGAAGAGATAATTACGTGTGTGTTTAATTTTAAGCGGCTGCATCCTCCAAGGAACTGGTCTACCTGGACCGGATCCTTGAAAGTATGAAAATGGTATGGATTCAAATAGGTCCAGCCTTTTCTGGCTTTCACTGCCCATACACTCTATCGCCTAGCAACCATTACCCCTTGCTCACACTGGCTCCGGTGCGGTTACCGAGCCGACGGAGGCCGCAACTCCCGCACACCCCCTCTCACACCGCCCCTTTGACTACGGTGCGGTGCGGCTCTGCGGCTCCGGCAACAGGTCCGGAGATTTAACTCGCGAGAACAGAAGTTCACTTGAGTTCATGTAACTTCACACTATAACAAGGCCCAAATAAGGATATTTACGAGAGCTTGTTGCGGAGGGCTCCGGCACGCCGCAAGGATAGCTTTCTTGCTGAATTTTCTGCAGCGCCGGAGTGTCTCGGTAACCGCAGCCGGACAGCTCAGCAGCCGGTGAGAGAGGTTTACGTCTTTTTAATGACTTGGAATCACTGCGGCGCCGCACCCACCACACTGCAACGGTAAGACTGGAGTCGGTGTGAGCCGGGGGTTACAGTTGACACACCCAGAAGCAAAAATGGATGCTGAACTTCTCACTACTGTTCTGGGTGCTAATAAAATTTGCGTGGAGTTTCAGCAGGAGTGCCATTGTCGCAAATATAGGATTTATAATCCACACACTGCAAAAATATTGCAATCTGTGCTTAAATGTCAGCCAAACTGATTTGTACAGGGACAGATAAAACCTTTCAATAAACCAAACATTACCCACCACATATCTGACTCAATAACCATTTAAAACAACTATTTTCATAAATTTCTGATGAAAGTATTCACACATTTGTATTATTTTAAACAACACCTAAAAATATTCACCACTGTTCAGGGCCATTTGCTTTTTTCCTCAAGGCACTGAGCAGCCGCTTGCTTGGACTCGCAATGAATCACGGGATACCCAAGGCTACAGAGGATACACTGGACCCGTCCTTCAAAAATGGCTAAAAGAAGGCTGCATATGTCAGCCGCATAACCAGGAGTCTTCCAATCTGAACAGGCAAAGGCGCTGTGCTATGAGGTAATTGGTCGACGAATCTGGCCTTCAGAGGTCTTAGCCACTGAATATGATCTCAGCATGTGTCATCTGAATTAGCAGTCCACAAGCCCTGAAGTGCTGAAACGTGGCTGAAAAAAAATAAATAAATAAATAGAATGACATGAATTCCCAGAGCTGAATTCTATTTATCCAAGACTGCCACGGTTCAGAGAGGCTCTCAATATCCCCCCACTGTTGCCCTCAAGACAAGTCTTTGTCTTGCACCACACAAAATCTCAAGTGCTCTTCTTATCTTTTGTATGGTTCGAAATTCAGAAACATAGGATTACTGACTTTAAAAAAAGTACTGCTGTTTAATATTAAGAAGAAACTCCTTGAACCACCACCTTAATGAGATGAAGGGGTTTCAGTGCTCGAGTCACATGATGTTTCCTCCTTGCAAGACCTGGATATCTTTTAGGCTTCGGCCGACTTTCTTGAGTAATTTAATGAAGGGAGGGACGGAGCTGTCAACCAATCAAAGCCTGGTGTTCAGCTGGGTACACTGGAGGAGAAATAAGTCCAACGGACTCAGCAGGCCCAAGGGAGTAGTGACGGTCTGCCGGGAACATATGGTGGAGCCCTCAGTCAGGGATATATTTAACTGCCACCGCTGGGAGAGCTTCTCCCAGATTCTAAAGGAGGCTGGGAACATGTAGTCTTAGTGGAACATTTTCGCTGCCACCTTTGTTGAAGAATTTACATGTAGCAATTGGAGCCGTTTGTGTTGGCAAACCCTGAACCCTGGATTGGCCTGGGTTGACACCGACAGTAAGGGATGCTGTCAAGCTGAAGAAGGAGTCCTATCGAGCCTTGCTGGCTTGTGGGACTCCTGAGGCACCAAGGTACTGTGAGGACAAGCGTGCCGCTGCCCTAGTTGTCTCAGAGGCAAAAACTCAGGGCTGGAAAGACACTGGAAAGTCCATGAATCCTGCTGACGATGAAAGTCAGACAATGGAAGAAAGACTTTGAAGATCTCCTAGAATCTGGCTAACAAACCTTCCATGATGGAAGAAGAAACAGGATACTCAGGCTGGATTCATTCATCACCAGGGCTCGAGTTCCCTAGGTGGCCAAAGAACCGCACGGGTGGCCATGCCTCGGACGTGGATGAGATTAGCCCAGAGTACCTTAGGTCTTCAGATGTTTTCAAGCTGTCGTTGCTGACACGCCGCTTTAACATTGTGGGGAGGTTTGGGACAGTGCCTTTAGATTGGAAAACATGTGGTGGTTCCCATGTGTAAGAAGGGGCACCGGTGGATGTTTTCCAACTATATGGGGGTCCCACTTCTCAGCAACCCCAGAATGGCTTATGCCAGGGTGCTGAAGAGGAAAGCCCAGCTGACTGTTGAACCTCGGATCTAGGAGGAACAGTGTTTTATTCATCTGGGTTATGGAATACTGGACTAACTCTATACCATCTGCAGAATGCTCAAAGGTACTTGGGAGTTTTAGATGATCCACCTAGAAATAAAATATTGTCCTCTATACTTTTAATAAACAAATTTCAGAGGGAAAGCAGCTTAAGTCAGACCAATTCCTGGTGCATGTTTGACTCCGACAGGGCTGCCCTCTATGCAAAATCCAGTTCATGATCTTTATGAACAACATTTCCAGGTACAGCCGAGGGAGGGGGACCAGCTGATTTTGACACTATTTTTTTCCCAGATGACCTGGTTCTGCTGGCTCCCTTCTACCAAGACTTACGGCATGCCCTGGGGTGGTTCACATGAAGTGTGGCTCATGACAGAACAAACAAGATCTTAAATACAAGCAGCTAAAATGGGCTTTACTTGCAGGCTAGCAGGGCACTCCCTTAGAGATAGTCAGAAGCTGTCAATCAGGAGAAGTTTGGAGGGAGCACCTAAGGCTTCCCTGAGCAGAACTGGACCAGGTGTCTGGGAGGAGGGACATCTGGAAGTCTCTGCTAAGACTGCTGCCCCCACAACCCAGTCCCAGATGTTTGGCAATACAGTTCCTGTGCTTTTCATGTTTACCTTTAACTTTGAAAAACATGTATTCTTTCAATTTACAATACTTTAAAAAAAATGTGCAACTTTTCTTGGTCCCTTAAGTCCTGACATAATATACCGAAGGGGTTCAACATGACAGAACGGAGTATAGATTCCTTAAAGCAAGGCATTGTCTTTATTCTTTTCTTTGTACAAAAAATTATGGAGGCAAAAACTCTGATCAGTTTGTATTGAACTGAATATGATCTCAAGATTTACAGAAGCACTAAATCTGTTATTTTGTCTTTCAAAAGGTTCACTGAGTTAAACTTCTGAGAAAATTTGTTCAGTCTTCCTGCTGAATGCACTTTTCTCCTATCACACAAATGTCTATCTCAGGCATCTCTTTGATGTTCTTTGAGAAGCATTCCTTCATACTGTGAGGAAGTTTTCTGTGAGGCTCGTATTTGGATTTGATTGAGCTGATTCCTTTGTAAGCTGTGCTCCTTACCTCAAAGAACTGTTCTAAAGCCTCATCAGATACGTGCAGTCTAAAAACCTGCAAATTATACAGCTGGATCAAATTACCAGGAACTTTTAGATCTATTTGTGTTTATGTGTTCTTGGGGTTTTGAAAATGGTAAGAAAAATCCCCACAAATATCTGACCTTAAAATCAAACATGCATTCTTTCAAAAACATTAAGCGTGAAAACAGAACCTTCTGTTTAAAGGCCCCTAGTCCCTGAAGTAAAACAAATCAGTTAGTCTGTCCCTGCAAACAATGTATAATTATTTTTCAGAAGAGGAAAACATTCAAATGCACTTAAAGAAGAAAAACAGTCATGATCTTTCTAAGAAATAAGGAATAAACTGTAGAACTTGTAAAGTTAGGAGAAAAATTACAAATAATGTTTACTTTCCCATTAAGGAGGAATGTATGGTTTGCTTAAAACAACATACATTCTAAGTAAATAATTGTTTTGTATTAGCATTTAGCTGGAGTATTTATGCACTCTCTGCATTTGCATGTCCCCCACCCATAAATTTGTGCTGATTGGTCATTAGAACATGATCTGCATATTGAAGAAGGCACACACACACAGACAAAAATGATTGCACACACTGTTCATTGAATTGAATTTAACTTTTCGCCCTTTGTTGAGGATCTGCTCTGTATTTGTTTCTTTTATGTTCAATCCTAATCCATAAAACCATAATAACCATACAGAAATATGGTTGGTGGCAGCATTATGTGAAGGGACAGGCAAATTGGGCAAAAAATGTAAATTAATATTTTTCTTTGTGTGATTAAACGCAACCCAATTACAGGGTAAACACTTATAGCTGTTCTTCACACAAATACAGAAATGTGCATCTGTTTTGAGATGACAATTTTTCAATTTGTATTTTAAAATAAACATTTTAGAAAGAGTAAAAGAAACCCTTAAAATACGTGTAGCCCAGGTTTCTTTGAAACATTCTTACTGTATTGTCTCCGACAAGTGACTTAGACTGGTATGCTGCTTTGGAGTAATTCCCACAGGGCGCTGTGGTTTCCAAGTTGTCATATGCATGCATATTAAGATATAAAACATGTCTTCTTGACCTGGCTGTGGATTTCATGGTTGCTGTTGGTATGCGGGGGGTGGAAGGCAGGGATGATTGCTTCCAGACATCAGCAGGAGCAACAGTGAGAGGGGTCATACATAGACTGGGGAGGGGCAGGACTCAATTGGAGGGAGGCAGACATGAGAATATTTATTTTTTGAATGATTTCCTCTATTCAAAACATGATAAAGAAACAAATATAAAAAGGAACAAGATCCTGTGGTTTCTTTTCAACTGTATCTATGATCAGCCTTAACCCTCTTACAAAAAGAATATAGTAGAGTGTTATACAGGTCCCTGAAGAATTATTCACACCCTTTTATCAAATTTGCTAACCAAAAACCCTATTCTGTTGTACTGGGATCTTATGTGACAGACCAATGCAACAGAGTGCATAAATAAGAAGTCCATGCATCCATCTCAATTAGATTTACCTGGATAAATTACAGCGCATTCTCACCCTCAACCTGTCAAATGTTGTCACTTGGTCAAGCCCCCTGCACATAAATACACAACTGGGGAAACTCCTCTTGGATTTATTGATGCACAGGGTGCAAGACGGGTTGTGGCAGGAAACTCCTAAATATTTTCATGAACTGCTAAGCAAAAAACTAACACTCACCTGTTCCTTACCCTAACCCCAAAACCAAAAATAAAACACTAGCATATATGTTATCATGAACTTCTAAAGCTATTAA